TATAGGCAAAATTCTAGAGCAGACTATTAAACATAGTGTGTGAACAAGGAGGAAGTGGCACTCAGCTGGTGCCAGGAAGGCCTCACAATGAGTGAGTCACATGACTTTGTTCCTTTCCTAACCGGGTAATTTCATTGACTTGAATGAATAAATTGTATATATGGCTCAAGGTCAAGAAACCTTATATCCAAGGGTAATTTGTAGGCTGTCCAAGATGAGAGTTCTTAACATAGGTTTGGCAGGACAGGGAGCAGTGGGTCCCAAAGTGAAGGGATGGAAGGGGTCCTGCTCAAACACCATTGCTAGCTTATACCTGCCCATCTTGGGGAGACAGGAGGGAAGATTAGCTACATTAAAAGGATTGGGACTTGGAGATGACCAGCAAGAACTCTAACCTCCCTTATAGGGCAGATAATAAAATATAGGGCAGTACTGTCATCGATGGTAGTCATTATCAAAATAGCAGCTAATCATTTTGGGGGAACTTAATATTTTGCTGAAAACAGCTCTAAAAGATTGACATTTTCAAAACTACCCCATGAAGGAAGAGCTATTAACTCCTTTTGGCAGATGAGAAAATTAAGGCACAGAGAGGCTGAGTAATTTGTTCAAGGTCATAGAACTATAAAGTAGAAAAGCTGGTATTCAAATTTAGGCTCCAGAGCCTCCTTCTGAGCCACCCATGAGCTCCTGGAGTACTGAGTGATATGTGGATGTAGATCTCAAAGGAAGTCTCAAGAGATATGGCCCCAAATTCTTAATTTAGCCCTGTCCTATTGAACATTTTAAAAAATGATATATGAAGAAACCAGAAGATTGCTTATAAAATCAAGATTGGCATGAAATTTGGAAGAATAGCTAAGATTTTTCTGATGACAGAATGAGAATTCAAAAATATCTCAATAGATTAAAATGATGAGCTAACAGTAACATTAAATTTAATGGGTAAATGTGAGATCTTGAATTTGAGGTAAAAAAAAAATCCCTACAAATAAATAGGCTAATTTAAACTATTTCTTCTTACATCAGTTCCTACTCCCTCCAGCCAAGCAGTGGCCATGTCGCACAAATTTACTTCCTTAATGATTCTTGAACTCACTGTCCCTACCTGGCCTCTCCTCTGATTTGAGCACTCACTGCCCTTCTTCTGCCTCCACACACTTGCAGTCCGGTCCATCCTATACAAAGCTCAGAGGATCTCCCTAAAGCACCTAGTACTCCCCGTTCGCTCACCTTTACCAGCTCCCACCTCATTTAGGCCAAGTTCCTGGCAGTCAAGAGCCTCCCCCATTTTGGCTCAGCCTTCCTTTCCAAAGCTCCAAATTCATCATTTGTTCTTCCTGTTTTTACTCTTTTCCACCTCCTGGACATCTCTCTGGTTCCTTTCTTCCTTCAGCTCCATAAGCCTAAGTCATGTCTAAACCTTCCGTTTCCTTCACCAGGTCTCCTTCATGTCCTCCCCCCAGCCTTTCTTGTCCTCCTCAGGTAATTTCTTCCCCCTGGAACATCTTACTGTATTTTCTGTTATAAGCTAATGCTGTGGATATACACATGTCCCCTTTCTTTGTCCCCTATTTCCCTTTTTATCTTCTATCAAGAGTGTAAGCTCATTAAAGGTATAATCTGTGACTGATTGACTCCGCTGTCCCCATACACTCAAACGTGTCTTGGGTCTGGTAAACGCTCACTCAGTAGCTGACAAATGCAAGGACAGGATGTAATAAGAAGCACTGTGTCCAGCACTGGATCCTGCATTGGGGAGGCGATGGTGCTGCCGAAGTACAAAGAGCACACCTGGATGCTAGGCCCAGTGTGGAGTCCTTCATAAGCCAGGCAAGCCAGGCTAGTGGGCAAGAGAGAAAGAACACTGGGATGGTTCATGAGAAACCGAGAATGTTCGGTCTGGGGTAGGGGCGGGGGCAAGAAGACAATATGGACCCTGATAGCCAACCTCACACATAGGAAGGGTTTTCATGTATACAGACTAAACTAATTTGGAATCACTCCAGGGCAAAAGGTCTATGCACAATGGATAGGGGGACATCATTTCAAAACAAGAAATTGCTCAAAAGGACCAGCTTGCTTTGTGGATGTGGAGAGCTTCCCATCACATGACATAATGAGAGGCAGGATCATAAATGATGAGGAAAAGATCTACAGCCAGTAAGATGCCAATCTATATGAAGTTAAAAAAAACGTCTTTCTAAATCACAAGAACAGCCCCTAGCCGGTTTGGCTCAGTGGATAGAGTGTCAGCTTATGGAATGAAGGGTACTGGGTTCAATTCCAGTCAAGGGCACATGCCCGGATTGAGGGCTCGATCCCCAGTAGGGACCGTGCAGGAGGCAACCGATCAATGATTCTCTCTCATCACTGGTGTTTCTATCTTTTTCTCCCTTTTCCTTCCTCCCTGAAATCAATAAAAATTTATTTAAAAAAATAATTAAAAAAACAAATCATAAGAACAACAATAATATAAATGGTGATCAACGGTGTTTAGATTCTAGAATCAACTTTACCTTATCTTGGGCAGGTTATGTAACTCCTCCATTATAATTAATATTCATCAGCATTATTATTTGTTAGAATTATTGGTTGGCCATAATGAAATATAAGCAAAAAAAGGATATGATTTGCTTTTGTAAAAAAACCTTAAAATTCAATGGAGGTTAACGACAAACTTAACAGTAAACTTAAAACAATGTCATTAAAATGCAACCAATTTTAAAGGTTTTTTTTTAATATTTTGTTTTAATATTTAAAATATGCTATTTGAGTCTCATTTGGTTGATGTGACGTTGGTACAATCATTTTGGAGGTGGGTTTTTGTAAAGCTGAAAATGTAACTCTATGGCCCAGAAATTCCAATCAGAGAGAACTAACGATGAGCAGCGGCTTTTAAAATTTGTATTTGTGTACCAGTTAAAGGAATTTTAAAAAATGATATTCTCCTCCCCACATTTAAAAATTGATATTTAGTATCTTTCAGTATGAACTTAAATGGCAGCAAAGAATATTCTTTGTTTAATATTATAAATAGTGACACTTTAAAAGCACTATTTTAAGTGTTCCCAGTGGAGTCTCAACACCACAGGGATTTGATATCCACCATTATACACACAAAATATATTCGAATAAGGTCCTCTCTGACAGTTGGTATTGTTCACTTCCCTCTTGGAATTATTATTTCTATTTTAGTTCCTCACTGAATTTCATCCATTAGAAATATATATTTATGCTTGAGAGTATCTTATTGATTACTCTATTGTAGTGTTCTGCCAAAAACTGTTTGTACAAATTAAAATCTAAGATAAATTAAAATTTTCTGTTACCACAAAACTAAATTTTAACATTTTTGTTTGAATTGCCATTAATATTATTATTATTATTAAGTACACAATAATTATTATTTAGTACACAATTGATTATAGCATAATTACTGATTACATGTATATTTTAAAGGCACCTATGTTATAATTTTATGAATCACTTTTAAACAAATAAAGTAAAATATCATTGGAAGCGCATCTCTCAGTGAGGTGGTTGATGTTCTGTGGGTAAACAATACTTACTGCTGGAAGGTGGTAAACATTACTTACTGCTGGAAGGTGGTAAAGTATTAATCTAAGTTGTATACTCTCTGGCCAGATTCATCTTTCTGACCACTGCTTCCTGGCTCACTTATAATGACTCCTTATCGTCTACTATGCAACATCTAAATGTTCAAGTCTTGCTCTGACTGGTTTGGCTCAGTGGATAGAGCATCGGCCTGCGGACTGAAGGGTCCCAGGTTCGATTCCGGTCAAGGGCATGTACCTTGGTTGCAGGCACATCCCCAATAGGGGGTATGCAGGAGGCAGCTGATTGATGTTTCTCTCTCATTGATGTTTCTAACTCTCTATCCTTCTCCCTTCCTCTCTGTAAAAAATCAATAAAATATATAAATGTTCAAGTCTTACCTTTTAAGGCCCTTTGTTATTTGGTCTTACTTATCGTATTAAATATTACCTCTCACAACCTTCTACTAGGACATCTGTCCCATCCAAACCTCCTTCCATTCCCCCTCTGAATACCAAGCAACCGCGCTGTGCTTCCCCCCCACCCCTGCAAAGCCCTTACTTATTCTTTGCAACTTCCTACATCGCATTTGTCTTTCTCAGGCCCAGCACATAGCTCATCGTCTCTGAAATCCTTCCAGACTCCAATCACCCTTTCTCTCTTTCATTCCCTCTGCTCTTATATTCTGTGCTGCACAAGTAGTACCTGATTATGTACTGTACTTCACCTGCCTAGGTTTAATTATATATCATACAAAATGTAGTATTTTATTATACATTCCTTTCTCCCCTAATTGTGTTAGGTTTTGTCAACCAGATCATAATTTGCTCCTATAATTAGCTTTTCATGAGAAGTGCTATGATCCTTTCCATGAGCTCAAAGAGATTTCTGAACCCAGGGAAAAGAACTGAGAGGGAAAAACTAAAGGTTTTCAAGTTCATAACAATGGTTTTTCATTTCTGCTGATGCTAAAAACAGTATAACTGTCTTTTCATGACAGTAGGAAGGCTATAGATCAAACAGTAAGAGGAACACATTTGAAAGAAGTAAAAGGAAATCATATTATAGATTATTAAGAGTTCTTATGAGTTTGAAATTGCTTTACTTTAAAGATCATTTAGAATCACATGATGGACTAATCAAGTTCTGGAATGTCCTCAAGGAAGATGAATCTTAGGATTCTAAGCTTTCATGGAAATCAAGGCTGACACCTCATCTCAGCCACCCCTACCAGTCCTCAGTGGCTCTGTCCCTCTGTGCCTCTGTCCTTTTCCCTCCCTCTGGGGGATGACGACAGCATCCAGGAGACTCTTTCTGTGGCACATGTTCTCCTCAGGCCCCTTGACCGACTAAAGGTGGTCCTTTCCTCTGAGTGAGGCTCTGAAGGCAGCCTCGCCAACCAGACAACAGTCAGGTTGCCAGTGACATTGCTCAGGTCCTACCTGTAGGCCGCCGTGCAGGTGTCCTTATACTCCTGGAGCTTCACGCACACCATGTTGAGGAACTGGTCTGAGTACGCGCTCAGGTCATGCATCAGATTCAGCAGGTCTTGCACTGTCTTCTCCACAATGATTGTGCTCTGGCAAGGATACAGAGAGGACACAGGCTCAGGAGTTGTTTTTTTGTTTGTTTGTTTGTTTTTACTCAAGTAATAGGTCGGATAAGGAAAGAGGGCTGAAATAATGCAATCATTTCAAACACTCAAGCTTTCCTGGGAGGGTATTTAAAAGTACTGATTAAAAATGACAACAAAATAAGTATCTTACGTACAGCTGGTCTTCCCAAGATCTGAGAAGTGTTTTCTGTGAAAGGACATAGGCTAAGGATTTTCAAATTGATCTCATGGAATTCTGGGCAGTCACAGCTATCTCTGTGGCTTTTCAGAAAGTGAATACATATTCAGTTGGGCCTGAATTTATCACCTCCAGGTCTGTACTTGGAGATGAGGGACCTATGGCAGGCAGCACAAAGAAAAAGCCTTCCATGGCTTATTTTTAAAGTTTCACAACCATCAATCTATTACGAATAACAACTACCATTTGTATTGTGCTTTACAGCCTCTAGATCAGAATGTTTTTACATACATGGCACATGTGATCTCACCTGAGACACATAACGATCGTCATGATCATGAACATTTACTGGTGTTTGCAAGTGCAAGGTACAGTGCTAGGGTTCTACATGATTCACCTCACTTAATCCTCTCAACACGCCCACCTGCTGGGTGAATCCTGTATTCATCCCTGTTTAAAGATGAACAAACAGGCTTAGAAACAGGTAGCACACCAAGCAAAGGCTCCAGGCTTTGCTCTTTTAACTACACCGTTCTGCCTCCCGGCTAGACCTGAGTTCTGCCTGTAGCCCCATCATTTTCTCATGAGATCACAGTACTTGCTACTGTTGTTGCCACTGTAGAAGCAATGTCCAAATAGACTCCGACATAGAGACAGGGAGTACTCTGCAGTAAACCAGTGTTACGTCTGAAAAGAGGCATAATCAGTAATTTTTCACTCTTTAAAAAAGACTGAGTTATGTAAACCATTAGTTCATCTTTCAAAAGGAGCAGAATTACACTGGGGCAAATATTAATCACATGCTTAGCAGCTTGGAATCCTTTGGTCAATAAATGGTTTGTTGAATACGCATTTAAATCAGACAGAATTGCATAGGCTACGGTAGACTTGGCCATAAAGTAAACATTGGAAACAACTATTTTTTTCGTCTGACCGTGACCCATGAAAGATCAAAGGCATTTTATTATGCTTAAATGCAGGCTGTGCGGCACAGGCTTTTGGTTAACTTTCTTTTTCTTCTAAACATAAAAAGAATGGATAAAAGTATGCAGCTTTTTTCTACACAATGGAGGATCCACTTGTTATGTGTTTACATGTGCATGTTTATTCAAGATTATTTGCTTGTAGGGATTTCCTGTCTTTTTTCCCTTCCCCACTCCTGTACCGTCCCCCAGTGTAAAATAACCAGAAGGAGAAAAGGAAGAACAGTTATATTCGGTAAGGCAAACCAAATCACCATCTCTATAGAATCCCCACAAGTTCAACTTCCTTTTCTGTATTGATTTTAAGATTAAAACACTGCAGATTCCCCTGATCCATAATCCCATTTCTCTGTATTTGTGTGTGAGTGACAGGAATTGATTCTGCTTAGCTACATGTCCCCACGCTGCTAAGAAGAATCTAAAATCCTCATCCTGCTTCAGAACTCAGGATATCCTAGGACATGTGGGCAGCAATTAACAAAGGAGAGTGCAGTTCAGCTCAGCCTTCCTGACAAAGCCAGCGTCAAACCCAAAGCTCTGTGGGCAGATGAGCGCGGGCATGATGAGCGAGGGGAGATCGCACAGATTGTTGAGGGACAGGGTCTGGCTCTCCTTTCAATTATGCCACTGGTAATCAGCTCGGGGCAGGTTTGGGTAACCTCTTCCTTTCTTATGACTCAATTTACTCTTCTAATAACTGAGGATAATGTGATGGCGCCGCTAATCTACTGGCTGGCCGTCATCACTTGAGTATTCACTGGGTTGCCCCGCGCTTCTGCTCTGGGAAATAAACACTGTAATTGTTCCAGGCCTCCCAGGTGTGCTGGGGCTGCCTGACCAGATTACCAATTTCTCAAAAGCAAGCCTGGCATTCTTCTCCTTTCATCCAGCTCCCACCCTCCCCGGCTGCTACTTGCTTATAATTTCTCAGGATCTTCAGGACGATACTACTAATAAAAGGAACAGGACTAATAACAGTAACAAACATCAATAAACCCCGATTGTCTCATGGGAGGGGTGCTAGACACAGCCATCCCTGCATTCGGAAACCTCTGAGTGGATCAGTTTGGTCTGTATTTATCCCAGTGCTTCCGGGTGGCCAGCACTGTGCTAGTGCTGATGACAGTGAGAGTGGAAGGGAGATACAGGCACAGAGGACCAATCCCTGGATATAAGGATGTGGGGTAAACAGGACCTACAGGAGAAGTAGGGAGAATGCCATGGTTAATGTGAATGGTTGTGCTCACCAACCATTGTGATGCTGTGATTACAGACAATTTTCCAGCTATTTGCTTGGTTTACCTTGTCAGGGCAGCACTCTGGATAGCCAGTCACTATATTCTCCTCAAGGAAAATGACACTCGTTTGCCAAATGATGGGTATTTTTACAAGGGAAAAAAGTTCCCATTTTTCAAGAATTTGTAATAATTTCCAAGTCAGTGGCTCTGACAGAGAAATGTTGAAAATATCAGATTTCTAACAAGGTCAGTCCTGTTTTTATTATATGATCTCTTTGGCATCACAAATGATTCATTGATTCATTATTAATTTCAGTATCTGCCTATATTAAATGAATTCTAAGTGAAACCCTGATTTTATTCATTGTAATTTCTATTAAATATATCATAAATGATTGATATTTATACAGAAACAACTCAATTTTCATTTCTTGTGACTTATTACCAGGTAATCAAGTCTGGGCATGACATGAAAAATGAGAAAATGAAAAAAAATTCCCAGGATAGCTGATGCTATGAAATAATAACAACCAAAGTTTCTTACGGGGATACAAAGCAATCTAAAACACAGAGAGGGTGTGTGACCAGCTCTTTCAAAAACTGAATGACTAAATAAATGAAGACATGTGGATCTTTGAGGCCTTGTTCATTTTTGCTAAAATGGGGCTCTGCAGCATAATACTGACAGTGATATTATAGGAAATTTGCTCTAAGTTCAAATAACTTGACAAATGCCGAGTTAGAGAAACCTGAAGTGGTTTCTTCACTGGAAGACTGGAAACTTAACATACTGATGCCATGGTGAATCTTAGAGGAGAATATGGTAGTCAAACTTCCCCTAACGATTTAAGTAAAGAACAATTTTTCATAGCATATCTTTTTGCATCTACCAGGACAATGTTTCCAGAACATGGTTTGGGGACAACTCTCCCAGTTCTCTGGTCATACTGATGAGGACACTAGGCCAGATGACAAGCTTGAGGACGCGGAGTCCTGGTGGGAACAGGGGAGAATCCAGGTCTCGTCCTCAGACTACACCCTTTCCTACACCCAGCTTTGTGTTTTTGTTTTTTATAAATCAAATACTTATTGCTGAAAGTATTACATATGTCCCTTTTTCCCCCATTGACTCCTTTTAGCCTGCCTCCATGCCCTGTCCCAGGCCTTCACCACCCTATTAACTGTGTCCATGGGTTATACATACATGCATACAAGTTCTTTAGTTGATCTCCTGCCTCCCGCTCTAGCCTTCTCTCCAGCTCCCCTGAGCATGCTCACCCTGGTCTCTAACCATCTGTCTGCTAGTCAGGAATGACTGCACCAGGCTACTTCCTGCCTCTGTGCCTTTGAGGGTCCCAATCTCCATGCTGGGTATGCCCTTCCTAGCTCATGCCCCTCATCCTTGACGAGGCGGCTCCAGGGTTACCTGCTCTGATTTAAATGCCCCTCTTCTGTGCTACCAGAGCACCATGGGTATAATTTTTATCTCAAGTCTCAAGTGGGATATGACAACCGCTGGGTCACTTACTTGACTGTCTCTGCTGCTAATCTATAAATTCCTTTGATCAGCAACTATACCTTGTATCTTCTACTACCAACTAGCAAGGCTTCTGGCATATTGCCAGTGCTCTATAAATATTTATTCGATGAATTAATGCAAATGCATAGCCCATTCGGAATAGGGTAAAAAACACAGATGTAGAGTAAAATTAGAAGGCCAGGTAGTGGCTTAAAACCCTGACTTGGTCAGATGGAATTAGAACACAACTCTTCAGTACACATTACTGGGTCTCAATTTCCAAATGAAGACTGAACACTGATTGTCACTGAAGGTCTTGGATTTTTCTATAAAAACACCTGACTGTATTATTTTCTATAATGTCAACCATATCCTATACAGTAAAAGGCTAATAAGCAAATCGACTAAATGACTGGTTGCTATGATGCACACTGACCACCAGGGGGCAGACGCTCAATGCAGGAGCTGCCCCCTGGTGGTCAGTGCACCCGAAGCCAGGCTCATGGCTGGCAAGCGCAGAGGCAGTGGCAGGAGCCTCTCCTGCCTCTGTGGCAATGCTAAGGATGTCCAACTACAACCTTAGGCCCACACCCTCTGGTGGTTACTGAAAATTCTTTGTTCCCATGTGCTGCAGTCCCGCCCAGCCCTCGCACCTGCTGCCGCTCACACCGCTGCCCACACCCGGCACCGCCCTGATTGCCCGAGGGCTTCTCCACCTCCCCCTGCTTCTGAGGGGCGATCGGGGCAGCAGCTGCCACTCGCACTTGCTGCTGGCACGGGCCCCAATAACTCTGCAGTGTCAGTGGGTGCGAGCGGGGCCAGCACTGTCAGTGCGTGGGAGCTGGTGATTTGCCCCCCCCCCCCCCCGAGTGCATGAATTTTGTGCACCAGGCCTATAGTATATCTATATATATAAAACCCTAATATGCAAATAGACCGAATGGCAGAACACCCGAGCAATTGGTTGCTATGACGTGCACTGACCAACAGGGTCACACGCAGAACATGGTGGTGTTGTCAGTAGGCGGCAGAGTGCAGAATATGGC